ATCTGACCAAGAAGGAAGCTCAGCAGAAGCACCTCACTGAGGGCTACGAGCATAGACTTTCCAAGCAGAGGGAAGACCTGCAGGAGATCAAGGCCAGGTACTGGCACCTGGAGGCTCAGTGGGCTGAAGATGGTCAGCCAGTTCCAGGCCTTGATGCCCCTGGAACAAGGCTGTCCTGATCTTTGCCACCAGCAGCACTTCCCTCCAGCCTTCGCTCAAAGCCCCGCACCATGAGGCTGAAGTGTACCCCAAGTCAGAATTTCTGCCCCCGTCTGACCCACACAAAGACCCCGAAAGGGGAGAATCTCTGCAGCAACATAAAACCACCAGTTGCTGCTGCTCTAAAACACAAAAAAACCCTCATTTTCTCATAATCAACCATTTTTAGTGATCTGCTAAAGAGGAAAACTCTGGCACATGCTCTTCTCTCTTGCATAAAATATTTTATTAATAAAATATATAAATAAAATATAAATATAAAATATATAATAAAACCCTAAATTTTGCTCATTTTCTCCTCTTGAACCATTTTAATAAGGATTATAACCAACAGTGTTCTAGACACATAACAAACTAATACCTCTGTAGTTTTTCCGTTCCAGAATTACATTTTTCTTTGTATAAAGAACAATAGTAGCATCTTTAATTGTCAATCACAAATATAGCCTTCACACACTCAATGAAGAAGTCGAACAACCCCTTTGTAGTCAAACTACACTCATACCTTAACTGTTTTTCAGTTTCAAATTTTTCAACGGCATCTCACTTCTGTCTATTTTTTTGGATGACTAACAATTATTACAACTTTAGTTCCTATCTTTGACATATGACTATAATTCCTGTAGTAATCTCTAAGTAATTTTTTTTAGTTTTCCCCGTCCATATTAATAGCAAACCTTTCAAATTAAACTTTCTTAATTCTGTTCCTTCTGCTGATAGTCTTCTCTTAATGTTCTTCTTTTAAAATCTTTTAAAAGTATTTTTTTTAAAAAACCATCAAAATAGCTTTGCATTTTCTTTCTTTTTTTTAAACTTAGTTTACTTTTATTTGTTTACGTAATTTCTCTAGCTGCCCATCTCAACCAGTGACTGCGGTATATCATAAAAACATCAAACAATAAAACAATCAAAACAATACAGAATAAATACATATTACAATAAATGGCCAGCAGGAAACAAAATACAGTATAAGAAAAACACCTATGCTAATGTGCTGTAGCTTACATAGCATTCTCAAATGTAAATAAAGCAAAGCAAAATATTGCTGTTCTGGCCACATTCTTTCCAGTATCTTTTTCTCACTATACATATTATATAATATGTCTCTACTCCTCAGGCTTTGCTGCACTTACTCTCTTATATGCATTTTTCTTTATAGCCTCTTTCTTTCAGCATTCCACCAAGCATATTTACACTGTACTTCGTATAGTATTTAAGTATATTTTTATTAGCTCTGCCAATTCCTGTGAAATATATCTTTTTTGAGGCATCTAAACAGAATAATAATAAATTACTAATGACATAGTTATTCTCAAACACCTAAATTTTGCAGTACTTTCCCCAAGCATAAAATTCACCAGAAGATGGTCCATTTTCAAACACTACCTGTTTGTTTGTTTATATCTCATCTGCCTTCCAACAGTCTCCTGGTATTATGCTCAATTCCTCTCTGAGAGAGATTAGCATGAAAGCAATAGTAACTGAAACGGATGCAAGTGATTCTTACAGCTAGATATATCTGAATCCAGTTCTTTTTGGTCCAACATAATTTTTGTTCTATCTTTAAAAATAAATGAAAAAGCTGCAATGGTATATTTAATAGTAAGTAGTAAAAACACCCAGGGAAATAGTTATTTCTTAAATTTTAGATGATTGTTGCAATATACTACTTGTTCTTTAAAACATATATTCAAGTACTGGTTTTAAATTTCTTTTCTACCAGACCAATATTTTGCTCTTAAGTTTTCAAAACACCAGAAAGAAATAGGTGTTTTTGTTAGCATTGACTGGGCATCATGCATCATGAGGTTTTATTGTGGTTTGACACTGGGTACCATAGGCACCCAGCCATTGTGATTTGTAAAGCACATTTAATGGCTTAGTGCAATATGTCAATCAATTGTACAGAACCACATAATTCAACACATTTTTCCAGTGTGGGAGTTCTGAGACATTTATTAAGTTGAACATAGGGTCCTATTATGCTGATCCTAACAGCAGGCCTTTTTTTTTTTTTGTAGAATTTCTGGCTAGTAGCAGAACAATGTATGCAACTTTTGTTCTATGAACCCCAGCTAGGTAAATTGTAATGAAGAAACTTACAATTATTGCAGATTCAAAGTTTGAATTAATTCTCTCAAAAACTCTTTTTGTTTGAAAAAGGTTGATATAAGCTCAGCTAAAAACTGAAGATGAGGTGCTCATCTTTTCCCAGTCTTTTTAGAAGTATTGAGAACACTTTCACCGCTTAAAACTTTAATTACTCTGTCAATTACTAAGAATAAAGCATTGAAATCTTTGCCATTGTGTGCCTATGTTGTCAATGTGAAGGGTATAACTTTGAGAGAAAAAGTACCGCTAAAATGCTAAAGCTAATATTATAGTACGTGTCTTAATACAAAACCGGGATAATGAAAAATGCCACTCTTTGTAGCGAATAGATTGCACATTCATGCCAATTCAGTTCATTACAAGAAAAATAAAGCTCTGTGACAGGGGTATACTTTTGTCATTTATTGTATTCAGAATTCACTAACAGGTTCTGTTCTTACATCTTATTTAGCTGGGCCAGGGAAGAGTTTAAATTTGAGAACACCAACAAGAGATTAGTGGACTTTCAAGTGACCTTGGCAGAATTAAAATACCCCCAAACATATCATAATCAGAGGTGGTATTCATCCACTTGTGACTGGCTCTGGCGAACTGGTAGCAGAAAATTTGAGAACTGTATTTGGAGAACTGGCAAATACCACCTCTAACTGGCCTGCCCCCATCTATTTGCTGCCTCTGGAGTACCAGCTGATCAGCTGGGTCTTCTTCTGTTGCCCTGCACAGGAGAAAAAAGCTGGAAAGCAGGTTAGNTGCGCGATGCTCCAGCTGCTCGGCAGAGCATCATACAGGCGCTGTACACACCATATGCGTAGAATAAGCGGCAAAGGCTTAAAGGACAGGTAAGGAGCTCAGGCGGGCGGGTGGGCCCTCCAGAGCACTGTACTGGAACGGTACCCGGGCAGATTCCAGTATGCCCGTATCAGGGCATACCACTTGCAACTCACCACTGGTCTTAATAGGATAATCCCCACATTTGACATTATTTCATTTGCTTTTAAATGTAATTAGAATTTTTTTAAAAAAATAACTTCTGACCTCCAGTCATATATATGGTGTCTACGAGGGGAACAAAAATAAGTCAGGATGACAGTCACAGGTGCATAATTGAAGCTCTGGCCTTTTTGTACCTGAAATAATGTCAAAAACTTTTTCTTTTTTAACCTCTTGTAGATACCACTGAATCATATATAAAACCTTTTCCTCCTTTAAAAATATAATTTACTAATTTCTATTTCTATTTTGATATGTCTGGGTATCATTTGGGGGCTACATATGGTTCTGGTTGTACGTTTCTCCTTTATAGCTTAGCATGGTGCATAAGTCTAAACATATGTGGTTCATTTAATAAACCATGATTAAATCAAGATTTCTGAGCTGAATAATTAAATGGCAAATATCAAAGTGCAGAATTAACACAGATCAGCAAGCAACAGAATTATACAGGTTTTATAAATGTACAGGAAATTATTACTTTTTGAAGTATAAAAATTGTCATCATTAAAGTACAGAATGGAATGCAGATCCAGCATTATTATGAACAGACTAAATTTATTTCGAAAGCTTAATATTTCACTCTTGTAGTCACTATATATAGCTTTTGAACTTGCCCTATTCAGGTGTTGCATTATTATATTTAAATTACATTTAAATATTATCAGAGTCTAATCTAATGAAAACTAATATAATCTTTTTCAAATCTATTACAAAACTTTATTTTCTATTATACTTGTATTCATTTGCATGAAAATGGATTCATCATTTACTTTCTCAGTTACATCTTTTTGCTTTTTAGTTTTCAAGGGAGGAATTCCTTTTATCCTTATTTTTCACAGCTGTTCCTTTGAACTAAACAGCACCCACAGAACAGGGAAACAATGATTGAAATAGTGGTGCGTTTGTTTGTGTAAATGCACACACATAAGTGGATTTGTGACTCAGCAAAAATAACACCCAGGAAATAACATAATTTAACCTGAATGCATTGCGGTAAGGTCTACCTTTGACAAAATCTTGTGTGCAAGTTGTGTATGCAACCACTTCATGGGATTTCAGCTTTCAGTAAAGACGCATATTGCTTTGTTTCTGTTTTGCAGGGTAATAAGCAAGATCTATCACCCTCTACTGAGGCACAAACAGAAAATAGAGTGACCTCTTTTACTTATCATGCTAAAATAAATTATTCCATCTCATAATGTGTCACAGATTTTCAATTCTGAAGGATGAAATTGTATTTGTGTACAATAGTATACATTCCAATTGTAATTTCCTATATTTCCAAAGTTCAGGCACTTCTTCAACCAAAATGGCTCCATTGGAACAAAAGAAGGCAGTATAAGACAATCTAGGAAAATTCCAGGATTTTTGGAAATACCATAAAAAGATAGAAAAATGCAATGTAATAAAACTTAGGTGGGGAAATAAAAACTAAATGTGCAGTAATGATTACTTACAGCTTCTTCTGCTTGGTGCTTGTAGCTTTTTACTTTCAGTTGCAATTTATCAATTAGCTCCTGCATTCTTGTCAAATTCTTTTTGTCTTCTTCTGCCTTTTAATTAAAATAAATAAAGAATTAATGTCAGCAACCATGAGTTATGCACAAATACTAACCTAACAGATAAAGCAGTTTGCTTTACTGAAAGTCCAAAATGCTGTTTCTTAAGATATAACTCTTTATTTTTATTACATTTCATTTTGTCATTTCTCCAGATACCTCAGGATGACATTCATTGGACTGCTGTGTTTATCATATCAACAAATGAGAGTAAAGGAATGAATAGGTGAAGAATCACAGTTTCTATCACATCTGGAATATAAAAAAAATGGTAGTCCTCTTTCCTTCCAGGAAGCAATAGAATACAAACATAAAGTATGTATTTAAATTAACCAAAATATCACCACTGTTCACATGGGAAGAAACTAGTGGCCTTATCATATACTCTTGTACACTTTAATTACATATTTTGTTTTATTTTGTTTTAAAATGAAGGACGCAAGTACAATTTTCATCATCTGCTATAACAGAAGATGATATTTAACACTGATACCCTCTGGTGGGACAATTACTATAGGCCATAGTTATCAGTTAGAGCTTTAACTTTACTTTTTTCAGGACTACTTTTATTCCAATCTAGAATTGGCTATATTAAGGAACTATTAAATTTAATAGTTTGTAAGCAAAAGTCTTCACACTTAATATAGAAAGAAGTATGCCATCTTCCAACATAACAATCATGGACTCCTAATGTTTACTCTATCTTCTAACTGATATTATTAATCATTTCTGTTTTCCATTCTTGAAAGTTAACAGAAGTTACACTAAATTATTTAGCAAAGATTAATAACATAAATTTTATTATGTTATAGTAATGTTAATAGTAATAAATAAACCTCTATTGTGGTATGTGAATTTCTTAAGAAATGTTGCTTTATATACTGTACCTGAGTGTATAGTATCTGGAAAAAATGTTTTATTTTACTGCAATATTTTAAGATCACTTAAAAATCACTTTAAGATCACTTAAGATCACTAGAATTACCTGGTAAGTCAATTCCTTGATGCGCCTCTCATATTTGCGGACTCCTTTCTGGGACTCAGTATTTCGACGAACTTCTACCTCTAGATCATTTTCTAGCTCACGAATCTGCACCAATACAAAAATATTATTAGATTGTATTTACCATAACACTGAACTCAAGATGAGCAAATTTGTGTAGATTGTAGATGTAACGCATTCTCCTGATTACTGATAATCTTCCAATTAGTCTATGATGTCATCAGAGGGGATACATTTTTGCCATTTTAAAAGCTTATTGAAAGTTTTTGGAATGGGAAGAATGTCAGTTCATCTCTCAGAAAACTGGTGTTCCCTTTTCCATTCTTAGTTGAACATTTTTACCTAAATTCTGTATTGCTAACATTCAGTTATATTGATTCATGTTTTAGTGGTATGGTTTCAGCCTATTTTCTGATAGATAGAAAGAGTTTTAAAGGTTCCAGAGGCCTTGTACTCCCATTGCCATATTTTATTTATTAGCTGTCCAGTGAAGTCTGAGCTGTGTACAAAACTGGAAAATTCATAAAAACAGGTATAATATCAAACCAAACCAAACTGGGCATTGCTGTCCAGTTTCTGTCCAGTCTACAGCAATGCTATAAATAACTCAAATCAAACAAAATAGGGGCCTAGCCGAACAATTGTATATTTAAACCTAGGATCCTATCAGGCTTTTCAGATATTTTTATAACCTTAACAGAAAGAATACAGTCCTTGTCTCTGGCACGATGCTGTTCCAGAAGGCTGGGCTGTGTTAGAGAAGGCATTTTTTTTCCTTAGTGTTAGAAGAGACCTGGAGTATATTCATTCTGCTGGGATATATCAGTCAGGGAAAAAATATTGGAGACAAATGTCCCTCAGATATCCAGTCCTTTTTTAATTAAAAGATTATAATGCAATTCAATTACTTTATTCTGAATGTTGTTCCTACAAATGGGGTGAGAAGCACAGGATGTAAGCTATATGTTGTGATTTGTAAGCCACATTTTATAGTAACGTATATGAAGCCAATGGGTTATGTGTCGTTGAGTTTGTAATTCAGGAATTTAATATATATATTAAATATATATTAGTCCATGAGATTATGGACCTGTGCAACCCAGTGATTTGCAAAAATGTTGGCACAAGGCAGCTATATAGCTAAATTATAGGAGGCATGAAACAGGATCCTTGAAAATGATATGGAAATAGAGGACTAAGTTGAGGAAGAGATACACTAGTTTTTTCTTGAATTAAAATACTAGAGAATCCATGCACAGCCCAGCCAATGTGGAAGGTGGAAGGAAGGAGACTGCACAGCAGATTTGAGATCAAGATAGGCAAAAACGAGCTAAAAATCTGACCCATTAAAGCATGGGACATTGGCAGAGATAGAGTGTGTGTNGGGGAGGTCTTATTATTTTTGAGGTGCAGGAGGCAGTGAGCATGGTCACCTCATGGCTGCTGCTGTGTTAGAATATTTTCAGTGAGGGCTTATTTTCAGGGGAGGGCTTAGTTTAGTGCATGCACTCAAAAGCCCGATTGGGCTTATTATCTAGGAAGATTTTATTTTCAGGGAAACAGAGTAATATTTTGGGGAAAAGTGGCAAGATAGTGAGGGAAAGACAGACAGACAGGTTAAATAATCTGCATGTTACTTTTTTTACATTTTGAATTGGAAAAAGGTTAACCGCCTCCAAGTTTCCCAAAATTGCTCGATTTTGCACATCCTCCCTATATTATAACACCAAGCTGTGATTTTATTGTAATATTTGTAACTACTTAAAAAAGGAAGCAACAGGATATGTAGGCACGCATATAACCTGAAGAGATGGGAAGTTTGCAGTGGGTCTGCTCTATCTATTATATGAGGGAGATAGTGTGTGAGGTTGTGAGCTTTTGTTATTTCTACAGACTAAAGGCATGTTTATGTTCTCCACTGGCCTTCTGGGGAGCCCTCAGAATAGTGACCATGACAACAGCCAATGATTATGCAATGTGCCACTTTTTTTTAGTCTCCACTGTTCTTTTCAGAGCTTCCATTGGTAAAGTCAGTGAATAATTTCTTTTTGTCAATCTCCACCACCATCGGAGAAAATAACATGATAAAACAAGATAACATGAAATTTAATTGCCCATATATTAAAATCAGCTACAGTATTAACAACCACTTTTAAAGCTGTTTTGTGGCACAAATTTGAATTTTAAAAAATCCTTTCTCAATTCCCAAATTGTTTTAAATAGTCCTAGATTGCATCTTTAGTTATTAATTGTAATATTAATTACAGTCATTTTAAAAGTACAATTACATGGCAAAGCAAGGGTGATTAATACATGGTGGGTACTTTTTTAAATACTAGTAGTCCAGACTGAAATAATACCTTTTGGTTTCTGTTTCTCAACAGCACTTTATTTCAAATGATACTTGTGTAGTGTATAATGCTTTTAGCTCAGCGAGAGCAGAAAGAGTGGGTCATTATTCATTCCAGCCTAGTCTTAGCATAGCATAGTATTTCCAATCATAATGTTTTTCAAGATGCATTAGGAAAATACTGCAGACTGGTTGAGAAATAACAAATGATGGGTTTTTTTTTACTCAAGATACCTAGATGGAAAAGTCTAATTTAGTGGCCCAATGCTCCATTTTTAAATCCCAGTTCTCATCCCATCTGACAGGAATGGCCTTCTCCTCTAAAGGGACCAGGCAGAGGAGAATCAGGAATGAATTTCACCTTGGAAAAAGTTAATTTCAGTGGCAGATTCTAGATACACTGCCTATCCTTGTTCCTCTCCCTTACTATCCTTTTAGAGGTTCTAGCAGAATCATTTTCTTCCACTTCATACCTTTTTCATGCCAATGTCTCTTGACTTGGTCCTGAGCTTATTAACCTGAGATTCAGCAATCTCAGCTCGTTCTTCGGCATCATCCAGCTCATGCTGCTGTTTCCTATATTTTGTAAGGTATTGATTAGCTTGAGCTTCCTGTTGGGGAAATACAAATANTGATGATGCTAACATGGACAAAACACCTAGTGCTTCTTATACTATAATTAAAATAATCTTATGTATTCCAAAAGTAAATAAACATCAAGACTAAAGAGATACAGCCATAATCCTAAAATTTAAAAAGATTACAACTACCACAAGGACTCAGGAGAAGCTAGACCAGTCCCAACCAGCCAGAAGAAAGCCCCCTGAACACCATGTATCCTATGTAGCATTACAGTACTATGTCTGTGAAAAAAGGACTGGAGTGATATTTATTCTTGAATGATAATCAAGATATGTGCCTACTAAATAAGCTTTACCTGATTGATGTTATCAAGGTGGGGAAAACGAGGATATCATTTGGGACTTCTGTTAAATAGGATTTGCTTTGAACTTCACTTTCATTTGCATCCTGGGCTTGGAGGAAATTGAACCCAATTTCCGTAATAGGAAGTACTATGTACTATATGTACATCAAGGGTCCTTCACAGGTCTATGGGCAGAAGGATTCCAATTATTGTCATAATAGTGTGTTTGGAGCATTCCCTTTTCACTTTTTTAAAAAAATGGTGAAATATAACTAGTAATATAACAATAATAGTACAATAAGAACAACAGTGATTAATATGAATTAAAGGGATCTCCAAGAGCTATTATAGCCATTATTGTATGAGAGGCATTTGGATATTTAAAACTGAGGTGGCATTTTTTTACACTCAGTCCTCAAGAGGTAATCACTGGATAACTCTGGATGCCTCTTGTATTCATAACTGTTACTTGCATTCATAATTCCCATGAGAACTATGGAGATGTATTGTTGTGCAATGCGGCTAGCTTGCCTTCGAAGAGTTCCACTGATATCTAGATCAACTGTGGTGAAGACAGAAAATTCTTTCTTCTGAAAAATTCTGGGCTTATGGAAGTGACTGTAATCTCCTTCAGCCTGACAGAGTCTATTTAGAAGCACCCCCTTTGTGCCTGGCATAGATGAAGAAGGAAAGTAAAGTTTGCTGATTTATTTGTGCAATCCAGAATTGCCTATATAATAGTCTAAATGCTGTTCATGTGCTCTGATTCACTTGTGAATGTTCTTCCCTATTATTGTTTACTTTCACAGGTTTTCTTTTGACCTCTGTTAGAATTTGTGCAGATTGGAGGTGTCTTCTTTTGTTGTTACTTTTTTCTCTTACTAAAATTACATTTGGCTTGCAAGGAATGTTTATGTTTTTGTTTTTCCATAGCATGTTTTTGGGGTAATGAAAAATTGAGAAATGAGTGACTGTTGTGGTATCGGGCAAATGTGTGAGAATTAAAAATCTGAATCAAACTCTCCAGAGCTCCCTTGCTTCTTTTGTTTCCAATCAACTACTACTTGCCTGGTCAAAGAAGAAGGGCTGACAATGTGATAGATTTTCAGTAGCAATCATGGGTTCATGAAATATCATATATTTTTGGACAAAACAAATAAAAATGCTATATTTCCCAAATAATGATTTTTTAATACAGTTAGCATGTTTGTTGCAGCCCAAACCCATTAATTATTATAGATTCCTGGGTTTAATAGTGTTGAGGGAACAAAGCCAGGAAATGGAAAGTTGGATTATTATTAAATTTAAAAAAGATACAAATGATGATGACGCAAAGTTAAGAATAATGCAACCTTCCAGAACAAGAAATTATAGTGGTAGCATATTTGTAATATCCACGTGTATTGTAAGAAGGACCTACATATGTGACTACCATCCTAAATTATTATGTCCCTTTCCGTTCAAAGGTCTTAATTGAAGTGACATGAAAGGAAGAAATATCTAGCACTTTCTCATATGATAAAATTAGTAACACTGATGAGCCATTTCCTGATGTTTCTCTTCTAGTTACTGGCTTATTTATTACCAGTCAGAGAAGATCTGAAGCTCTGCTGAACAAAATGTTGAGAATCTTGGAGATATATCCCACTGGAATACAATATCAGAACATATTTTAACTACTGTAGTACTTGAGGTCATTTATGCAATTGAACATTACTTAAGATTGCACTTTAATCATTCTTCTTGTGGAATCTATCTGTATGCATGATTATTCTTAAAATATTTACTTTACCAAAATGCGGGCTTGATTCA